GCCCGAGTTCAAATCCCCCCTCTCCCAGGCACACTGCCCAGCGACGGGCGCCACACGGTGGACATGGGACCGACCGCAGGGCAGTAACGGATCCGTGCCCACCAGCCGCCGCCAGCAGCCCGGGCGACAGGGAGCCCGTGACTCCCCCGGCAGCGCCCACCAGCCACGCTCCCTTAGGCGGCTTTCTGGGCGCTCCTGCATCCCACCCGCCGCGTGCCAAGGGGCACACTGTCCCGCGGGGCCCCGGAGGCGTGGGCACCGGGCATGGCACCGATCGCGGGGCTGTCCCGCGTGGAGCAGCGCTCGGCTCCGGCTGAGCACTGGCTTCGGGCCGACCACCTAACGTCGGCCGCGAGGCGCTTCCCCAGATCGGCGCTGGCGACTCGGCGCCGGGTGAGAAACTGAGGCCGAGAAGCCACCGGCCGTTCCTGAGCTCCTCGCGGGCAGCCCCGCGGCAGGCGGCCCGGAGCCCGGCGCGGGCGCCTCTCCCCGCAGCTCCCGCCCGCCCCCTCGGCCTCCGCGGAGCCGCTGGAAACGGAAGCGGGGCCGCGGCTGCCTCCCTCCCGGGCGCCCGCACCCGCTCCCCTGGGGCGGCGCCCCGTCCCTCCCGCCCCGGCGCGGCTCACCTGGTGCGAGCCCAGCGTCCCAAACACGGCCGCCCCCTGCGAACCGGAAGCGCGCAATTCAGGAAGTCGGTGCCCGGAACCCGGAAGTGCAGGGACCGGCGCGCCTGTGATGACGTCAGATAGCGGAAACGGCGCGCTGGTTGCCATGGCAGCAGGAACGCCTGGAGCGGCTGTGGCTCAGAGGGGCGGGGCCGAGATGCTGGAAAGCAGACGCGGAGTCTCAGGGTCCCACGTGGCTGGTCACCTCCCCGCCGACCAGGTCACCACCCCGGCGCCGCGCCGGCCTCGGGGCGACGCCCAGCCTGTTTTGATTGGGGTGGACGTCGCCGAGCCTCCGTGGTGGCTCCTCTGCCCGCCTCAAGTCCTAAATCGGTAAAACGGGGATATAGTACCCGTTCGTAGGAGAGTGGCGAGGAATTGTGAGACATCACGGGGATGGGAGACAGGACACGCTTTCGTGTGGGAATAATGAAAGACCTGGCCGGTGTGGCTCAATGGATAGAGCGTCAGCCTGTGGACCGAAGGGTCCCAGGTTGCGGGCTCGGTCTCCAGTAAGGTACGCGCAGGAGGCAGCCAATCAATAATTCTCTCTCATTATTGACGTTTCTATTTCTCGCTCCCTCTCCCTCCTGAACACAATAAAAATACATTTTAAAAAAGAACATAGCCTCTGATTCGAGTGCGCTTCAAGGGTAGGACAAAGCGCAATCACATACCACTTGGTAGGACGCCTTGAGAAAATTGCAGCTTCGCCCCTGTGATATTCCTGGCAAAATACATAATCTGAACCAAATCACGAGTATACATCAGACAAACCCAAATAAAGGGCATTCTACAAAACAAAAAACAACTTGCTTGTAATCTTCAAAAGTGCCGTGGTCGTGTAAATCACAGACCCTGTAACTTCATACTGAGAAACATGGCAATTAAATGCAATACATGGTTCTGAACTGGATCTTCCATTGTAAAATTTCTAGAGTGCTGTTCTCAGAATGTCCACAAGACGGCGCCATTGCAACCCTTCTCCGCAGGGCCAGAGCCCTCAAGGTCTCTCAACTTGATGCCCTAATACTTTCGTATTTCCAACCAAGACATTCTCCAATGTAACTGCAAAACCACCACCAAAACCAGAAAATTAACACGGACACATCACTGCCACAGACACCTGAGACTCTATTTCAATTTTTGCCTGTTGTCCCAAAACATTTTTTTCTACTTTTTTTCTCTGAGAACACCACACTAGTAAGGGGAGGGTCGCAATCGTGCCCTCTTGTGGACATGCTGAGAACAGCACTCTAGTCATGAATTCTGCGAGTCTGAAAAGAAAACGCTGTGGAGAGACCTACAGGGCACTGGCCCTGCAGGGAGGTCACAATGGTGCCCGCTTGTGGACATCCTGAGAACAGCACCAGAAGACCCCTTTCAGAATCATGTGTTGCATTTAGTCGCCATGTCTCCTTAGTCTCCTTCCGTGTGGAACAGTTCCAGGTCTCTGACTTACACGATCTAATTTCATGATGGAGAGGGGGGGAAAAACCTCTCTATGCATTTAGAATTTTTAAAATGGAGTTTCTGGAGTAAACCTTCAAGGACCCCAATCTCCATTTTTCTGCTTCCTAGGTTTGGGACTGGGGCAGGTTGCTTCACCTCTCAGTTTTCTCACCTGTAAAATGGGGACAATGTCAGCACTGCTCTAACTGGGTTGTTTCCAGGACACAAAATGGGAGGAGGGGGGCCTAATTGAGGCGTATATAGCTCTTAGAGTAGTAAGTGCTTTGTACATGGTTGTGATTCTTTTCATTTAAAAGACCCAATTTCATGCCTTCACATGGAAGACCTCTCGGCCTTAAAGGTGGGTAGTTTTTCAGGATTTCTGGGCTCAAGAAGTTTCGATTCAAGACGCCATACCCACCCTGGCCGCTAGTCACTGCCCAGAGGAACCCCTGCTTTGGGACTCAGGACACCCAGGCCCGGGTTTAGATTCCCAATGAGGTACCCGGACTTGAGCCTTCCCAAGAGGGGTTGCCAAGCAACGAGGCTCCTCTGCAGGAGCCGGGCAGGGCCTTGGACGCTCATCGGTCCGTTCCCCCTTTTCCTGTGGAGGAGCCGTCCCACAGGAAGCAGCCGGGGCTACACAGCGAGTCTGAGCACAGAGCAGGTTCTAGGACCCAGGAGGTGGACTCCCAGGCCAGAGCTGGCTCGGAGTCCCTGCCCAGGGCCGCACACCGTTTCTGTCCACTTGTCGGAGCCAGTACTTCTAGAGTGATCCCTGTCTGCTTGGGGTCACAGAGTCAAGCCCCTGCACACGTCATCTCTTTAATTCCCCAACTTTCCCCGGGGGTTTCTGTGCCCACCCGGGCCCCCACACCCGACCCCCCCTTTAGCAGCCTGTGCCATGCTGTTCTGCCTCTGAAAGATTTCGGGGGGGAAGGGGAGATCCTTGCTCAGTTACCACTTGAAATAGGCTGATACCATAGAAACAGCTCGCAAGTGGCATTTCAAAGCTGATTTATTTAGAGTCTAGCACAAGTGCCTTTTCTAGGACACTGACATTACACAGTTGCACACGGCTTAGTAGTTTGAATCTTGTCACAAAAATATATACCGGGCCGTGACTGAAAATCCAGATCAGCTGGGTTTGCGCACTGGCTTTCTTTAAATGTTTCCTGCAGATGGCTTCCACCCTTTCACGACCACCATCCTTAGATAGCAAGCTGGGACAGGACCTTCTGCAGGCCCGAGGCAGGATCTGAAAGCAAACCCTCAAAAGCCACGGTGAGATGAGGAACCCCGGCCGCCATCATCCATTCACTCACTCACTCACTCACTCATTCATTGGGCCGCTCATGAACAAGCACTTATGAGCCTCATGTATCACTGATTGCAGCGTTAACAGTTACTTTCAAGCTGAGCAGCTGGGAACTGCAGAAAATGTGACCTCATTTCTTTGGGGAGGAATTCAAGCGTGGCCCAGCTGCACGCTGTGACGTGGGGTCCCCCTGGGACCGCACTCCTGAGGGGATCGGCTCGCATGGCTGCCGGCTGGTGCTGGTTGTGGGCAGGAGGCCCGAGGGCCCTGCCCCCTGAACCTGTGTCAGGTGCCGAGTGTCCTCGTGACGGTGACCAGCCTCCCCAAGGGAGCCGAGTCCAGATAACAAGGCCAAAGCCATGCCGAGTTTATGATCTCGCCTTGGGGGTTACACGCCGGGGGTTCCCCAATATCCGGCCCCGGGAGGGTTGTCAGCCAGATGGAGCAGATAAAACTACAGGATGCCCGGTCCCACTTGAATTTCAGACAAATGACACAGGATTTCAGTGCGAGTCCCATGGATACTGACTGTTCTATCTGCAACCCAAGCCTAGCCACCTGTCTTGTATGACTCTGGAACCCTGCCTTCGTGTGTGTGGAAGGGACATCGCATGAAAGGGTGTGAGTACCCGGAGGTGGGGACATCTGGGGGCCCCTCCATCCGCCAGGCACCATGTGGGGGTGAATGATGAGCCATGAACCATGTGGTCCCAGACTCATCCAGTTCATGGTCTAGTTAGACCAACAGAACCCGGGCCCCGGCTGACAAATGCAAAGCCTGGTGAGGAACGGGCTTCCAAGGAGCCGCTGGTGCTCGGACCTGTGGGTCCCCCTCGGATCGCCGTCCTTGTGGTTTGTAGATGGAGCCTGTGCACATGACTGTGTGTGTGTGTGTGTGTGTGTGTGTGTGTGCACGTGTGCAGAGGGGAGGGGGGACAGTGAAAGAGGAAAACAAGCCCCTGGAAATGCTCCCGGATAAATCAATGGAGAAAACGGAGTCAGGTTGCTGGGAGTGGGGCTCCCGCCAGCCCCAGACCCGTGACGGCCCAGCACCCACATCGGCAGAGGCAGCGGGGCGGCCCGCTCAGCTCTCCCGGACTGAGGCTTCAGTCAGTGGTGTGAGGCCACTGCGCTGGGGCTGGTGGGATTTGCAGGAAAATGGGGGGCAGCGAAGGGGGCGCATGCGTCCCCCTCCGGTGAAGCCGACCCCGAGCTTCCGGTGCGCACAGTGCGGCCACGGCTGGCCCGTCCGACGGCGTCTCCGCTCACGGGGCCCGCGGCCGAGAGGGAGGGGCACACACACACACACACACACACGCACACACGCACCCCGCCTGGCCAGCCCTCCACCGCCCGGGCCAGGGCCTCTGCAGGTTTGGATCCGCGCCCTTTGGCTGGATCACGGGAGGTGAATGGGCTTCGAGTTCGGGGAGTCCTTCCAGCAAATCACCAAACGGGGGGGGCCCGTGGGGACCCAGACTCGGGGCCACTCACCCGGGGCCGCACCCCGAACCCCCAAAACGCAGCCCCGGCCGCCCCTCCGTGAGTAAGGCACAGACAGACCTGTCCCTGCTCCCTTTATTCCAACGTATACCCGCGTCCTGTGACATGTAAGAACGGGAGGATCAGAGAAAGCTTCATATATTAAATTTTTAAATAGATTCTTTGAATTCAAAAATAGGTCCTCGGGAGGCGGGGGGCTGGTCCCGGCCAGCAGCGCCGCACAGGGAGGCGGGGGGGCCACTTCGGAGGAAAGTCCCGGCGGGAAAATAGAAAACCGAGTCCCCGGAGCCGGCCGTGTGTGTCCGCATCGCCGTCCTCCGTCCCCGAGGGTCCGAGGGCAGCGGGTCAGGGACGTCCCGGACGCCCGGGCTTTGCAAACATGTGCAAACACGCCCCTCGGCGGCAGTCCGTCTGCCGGGGATAGCAAGCAATGTGCTTGGATTAGATCCGATTTCCACGGAGGCGGCTGCCCCCGCCCGTCCCGGCGGCCGCTGGCGGGACCTGCGAGCAGAGAAGCCGTGAGCCCGCTCCTCCGTGTGCGGGACCGCGGGACCCGGCAGGTGGAGGCTGTCCCCATGGCACCCCCACCCCCCCGACACCCTCCCCCATGGCACCCCGACACCCTCCCCATGCACCCCCTCACCACCACCCTCCCCCATCGCCACCGCACCCCCCCGACACCCTCCCCCCTGGCACCCGCACCCCCCCGACACCCTCCCCCATCGCACCCTCACCCCCCCCCGACACCCTCCCCCACGCACCCCCCCGACACCCTCCCCCATGGCACCCGCACCCCCCCGACACCCTCCCCCATGGCACCCGCACCCCCCCGACACCCTCCCCCATCGCACCCCCTCAGACACCCTCCCCCATGGCACCCGCACCCCCCCGACACCCTCCCCCATGGCACCCGCACCCCCATCGACACCCTCCCCCATCCCCCATCAAACCCCCTTCGGACACCCTCCCCATGGCACCCGCACCCCCCAAGACACACCTCCCCCATCGCACCCCTCAGACCACCTCCCCCATGGCACCCGCACCCCCCCGACACCCCTTCCCCATTCCCACCCTCAGACACCCTCCCCCATGGCACCCGCACCCCCCAGACACCCTCCCCCATCGCACCCCCTCAGACACCCTCCCCCATGGCACCCGCACCCCCCCCCGACACCCTCCCCCATCGCACCCCCTCAGACACCCTCCCCCATGGCACCCGCACCCCCCAGACACCCTCCCCATCGCACCCGCACCCCCCCCAGGCACCCTCCCCCATTGCACCCCCCTCAGACACCCTCCCCCATCGCACCCGCACCCCCCTCAGACACCCTCCCCCATGGCACCCGCACCCCCCAGACACCCTCCCCATCGCACCCGCACCCTGACCTCAGACACCCTCTCCCATCGCACCCCCACCCCCCCAGACACCCTCCCCCATCGCACCCGCACCCCCCCAGACACCCTCCCCCATTGCACCCCCCCCTCAGGACACCCTCCCCCACTGCACCCGCACCCCCCTCAGACACCCTCCCCCACTGCACCCGCACCCCCCCGACACCCTCCCCCATCGCACCCCCTCAGACACCCTCCCCCATGGCACCCGCACCCCCCCAGACACCCTCCCCACTGCACCCGCACCCCCCTCAGACACCCTCGCCCATGCACCACCCCCTCAGACACCCCCCCCCACTGCACCCGCACCCCCCCAGACACCCTCCCCCATGGCACCCCCCTCAGACACCCTCCCCCATCGCACCCGCACCCCCCAGACACCCTCCCTCCCGCCCGGAGCCAAAGCAGTGCCTGTTGGGGGGGAGGTCAGCATGGAGCCCAGGCCACCCGACCAGGGAGGAGCCAGCGCGCTGGCCTGCGGGGTCTGGTTTAAGCAAAGAAGTCGGGGTGCGTCCGGCTTTGGTGGGGGGAAGAGGGGACAGGCAGGAGCAGGGAGGGCGGGCAGAGACCTGAGTCCCCGGTGGTTCTTTTCTCTGGGATGAAGCAGCCTCTGGGGTCTGAGCACGTTTTGGGGCGGGGGGGGCCTTAGAAACCCTGAGAGACGGCCGGGGTGTTTACAGCCTGGCACGTGGGTGCAAAGTGGATTTTTTTTAAGTGAAAAATATGCTGCTGATTGGAAAATAAGATGAGACTAAAATTAGAGTCTGGGTAGAAGCTGTTTCCGTTTAAGAAACACAGGAGATACGCAGGCAGGTTCCTTCCTGCGCTTCCCTGACCTGGAGGGGGGGGGGGGACCCCGCTGGGTGCTCTCAGCTACTCCCCATGGCGAGGCCCGGCACCCCCACTCCCCCTCCTCCCCCCGTCAGCCCTCGCAGGGGGGCGTGACGACAGCCCGTTCTCCAGATGTGGACACGGAGGCTGAGAGGAGTCACACGTGAAGGAGCCCTTAAACCTATGGCCCAAGTTCACACCCAGGTTGGGAGCCCGTCCCTCTGCCCCTCGGCACACACAGAGGTGAACACGGACTTAGGCTGAAAGCAAACTCTGGGCGCGGTCTGGGGGGCTCTCCCTCGGGGGCGGTCTGGGGGGGCTCTCCCTCAGGGGCGGTCTGGGGGGCTCTCCTCGGGGGCGGTCTGGGGGGGTCTCTCCCTCGGGGACGGTATGGGCTCAGGGGCTCTCCCTCAGGGGCGGTCTGGGGGGGCTCTCCCTCGGGGGCGGTCTGGGGGGCTCTCCCTCGGGGGCGGTCTGGGGGGCTCTCCCTCGGGGGCGGTCTGGGGGGGCTCTCCCTCAGGGGCGGTCTGGGGGGGCTCTCCCTCGGGGGCGGTCTGGGGGGGGCTCTCCCTCGGGGGCGGTGTGTGGGGGGGCTCTCCCTCGGGGGCGGTCTGGGGGGCTCTCCCTCAGGGGCGGTCTGGGGGTGCTCTCCCTCAGGGGCGGTGTGTGGGGGGCTCTCCCTCGGGGGCGGTCTGGGGGGGCTTTCCCTCGGGGGCGGTCTGCCCTGGGCCCTGTCTGCTTTCCCATCCAATGGGAGGAGGCACCCGCCTCCCGGGACGCTGAGGTCAGTGAATAACGGGGCAGAACCCCCGGCTGCTCTGGCCCAAACCGGATCCGTTCCTGGAAGCCGGCCCGGCGGGCGGCATGCCAGGCCGCCATGATCCGGGGTCGCCCATCACCGGTCCCGGCAGCGTCCCTGCAGCCAGACAGCCTCCCCGGCTGGCTCACACCGAGCCTGCCCCGCCGCCCAGAGAGGAGAGGAGAGGAGCCGTGGTTCTATAAACAGCTCCCTGGCCGGTCACCATGGAAACCTCCCAGAGGGGTGGTCAGCCCACCTTGGGGACACTCCTCCCCGGCGGCCCTGGAAGGACCAGCTTTTCAGCAGTGGCTCCGGAGCCGTGGGGCGGGGAGGAGGGCGTACCTGGAAATCACGAGCTTGCCCCGGGGGCGGCGGTGCTGTTCGGGTTCGCCTGCGGAGGACACGGGAGGTCACGGGAGGTCACGCCAGGGGGTGCCAGGGGCTCGCTGCCCGCGGCCCACCCTCAGCATCACCGCCCGGCACGCACACTCACACATCTCACACTTCCTGTACACCTACTATGTGCGAGGTGCACACCTACTATGTGCGCGGTGCTGGGAAACATGAGCCCCGCAGACCAGGCCTGTTCTCAGGCAGCTCTACTCTAGGGGGAGGGGCTGGAGCTCACACACAGGCAAGATGCTGTCCACCCCCAGCAACACCCGGCAACGCCCGGCAACACGCTGGCCGCCAGGAGAGATGGCAGGGGGGCTGTTTCCCCGGTGGGAGGGGCCGATTCGGGGTGACGGGTGCGATGAAGAACCAGCGTGTGACCTTTGACCTGGGCCTGGCACACAGTTCCTAACACCCGCAACGTCCCGTATGCTAATGAGATGGCCGGGGGCCAGGGGCCCACAGAGCTCCAGGATGGGGGGCTGAGCCAGTGGACCAGGCAGATCAGGGGGCGCGACTCAGCACCACCCCCCACCTCCCCCCGACCTTAGTAATCACTGGCCTGTGACCCGGTCAGTCATGTACGTCATGAAGCTCCCCAGAATTCCTAGCTTCCGGCTGGGAGCGAGGTGCCCCCGAGGGGCCACGGGCAGTGCCTCCAGCTGCAGGTGGAGCTCCGGGCGTCGGTGCCAGGGCGGAGCCGAGCGCCAGCTGGTGCCCGGAGAACCGGAGGACTGGCTGCGGTCTGACCGCACTCCACAAGCCGCAGCTTGGAGCAGGGAGCCCGCCACGTGGAGGTCAGAGGCCGAATGGGAACAGCAGAGCCCAGGGTGGCAGGCGTTGGTGCCCGCCCGAGCCGCATTCAGCCTGTGAGCTCAGCTCTGCCGGCTCCTGTCCCCCTCTCTCTGGCTTCCCGGTGCCGCCTGGAGGACTGCACCGACGCCTCACTTAGGGCGCCTTTCCCTCCACTCCGCGCCCACCTCCAGGCTGAACATCCCGGCCCAAGTCACGTGCGCGGGGAGAGCTGGGGGGTGGGGGCCCAAGCGCAGGGCAGCTCCCCGAAAGCTGGGGGGGGGGGGGGCATGACACAGCACACGCCCCTCCTCCGTTCTGCTCCTCAGGGACACGCCCTGCAGCACCGGCCAGACTCCATGAAAACACGATCTGAGCGGATTCCAGGCCTTAAAGACGGGTTCCGGGGATGACTCAGCAGAGCACACACACACACACACACACACACCCTGCCCACAGAAGAGGCAAAAGCAGGGTGACTATCAGGCACAGCTAGCGGGACGCCAGGCCACAGGATTCAGTCCCGTGAGGTTCTAACCTGGAAATGTCCCTTCAGATTGGCTGGTGTCTTGTAGTCCCCTTTCAACACCTACAAAAGGGAAAACCCAGTCAGTCCATCACCTCCACATCCATGCACCTTCCCACCCGTCCGTCCATTAACGTACCTATCCATCCACCCATTAACTTACCCATCCCGCCACTCACCTATCCACCCACCCACCCGTCCACCCATTAACTTACCCATCCTGCCACTCACCTATCCACCCACCCACCCGTCCGTCCATTAACGTACCTATCCATCCACCCATTAACTTACCCATCCCGCCACTCACCTATCCACCCACCCACCCATCCACCCATTAACTTACCCATCCCGCCACTCACCTATCTACCCACCCACCCGTACACCCATTAACTTACCAATCCCGCCACTCACCTACCCATCCACCCACCCGTCCATCCACGTGGCCAGCATGGGGCGGCCTGGGCCTGTCCCTCACCACGTCCCCAGGGCTGTGACCAATCCCTGAGAGAGAGCTTCCAGGCTCCCAGAAAGACAATTTCACTAACACTGGGGTCCTTTCAACCACTGAGTGCTGTACCCCTGGATCCATTACAGAAACACACACAGCATACACATGTACACGCACACATACACATGCACACACACAAGGCTTTCAACAACGGAACTTAACTCAGTAGTTCCCCTCTAAAGACTAAACAACTCTCTGGTCCAGCCGGCGGGGCTCGGAGGTTGAACCAGGGGGTGATGGTTCGATTCCCGGTCAGGGCACAGGCCCGGGTTGTGGGCTCGATCCCAGCGTGGAGCCTGCAGGAGGCAGCTCCACGTTCTCTTTCATCATTGATGTTTCTATTCCTCTCTCCCTTCCTCCCTCTCTCTGAATCCAATAAAGGGGAAGTCAGAGCAGGGAAATAAAGTAAATCAGTGCACAGATGGGCCTGCAGGCTGGAGACGGCAGAGTGTGAGGCTGAGCTTCCTTGTGACCCAGGCAAACATGGAAATACAGCGGTCACATGACCCACTCGGCACACTCTGGAATCAAAGGGCTTATTGTTTTCTCAGACAGCTGGGGCCTGCACCCTTACCACAGACCACGAGCACGCCTTCCCGTGTGCGTGAGAGCACGCCTCCACATGTGAGAGCACGCCTCCACGTGTGAGAGCACGCCTCCACATGTGAGAGCACGCCTCCATGTGTGAGAGCACGCCTCCACATGTGAGAGAGCATGCCTCCATGTGTGAGAGCACGTCTCCACATGTGAGAGCGCGCCTCCACGTGTGTGAGAGCACGCCTCCACATGTGAGAGCACGCCTCCACATGTGAGAGCACACCTCCATATGTGTGAGCACGCCTCCACATGTGAGAGCACGCCTCCACATGTGAGAGCACGCCTCCATGTGTGAGAGCACGCCCACTCACCCGGTGCGTGTTGTTGACGACGATGGGGTCCGGGTTGCCGTAGTTGGGAGGGTTCGCGTAGGGGTCATAGCCGAGCCGGGCCAGCATGGGGGCGATCTGGGCCATGTCCCGCACCACGTCCCCGGGGATGTGCCCCGTCCACTTGGACAGCGCCTCCAGGTTCACGGGCTTGATGACCTGGTCCGTGGACCGCTCGATCCTGCGGAGAGACGGCAGGCTCAGGGGGCGGGCGGACCCGGGGGCTCCCGGGGGGGGCCCTGCCCAGTCACTCTGGGGCAGTGGGGAGACTGTGAAACCGCGACGGGGCACGGCCCGGTCACGCCGTGTGTGTGTGTGTGTGTGTGTGTGTGTTGGGGGAGGGAAGGGGGTAGAGGGGTACAGCACACGAGGGGAGGGAGGCGGCCCAGGCAGAGAGCACTGGGGCCTCACTTCTGCTTCCCTGACGCCTGGACGCCGTAAGGGGCCGCTCACTTGGACAGCGAGACGCCGCCGGGCTTGCCGATGAGGTCCTCGTGGTGCAGCACCGCGTCGCTCCAGGCGATGCCCAGGAAGTCCAGGATGAGCTGCAGGGAGCGCCGCGGGTGCAGCACCAGCTGCTCGTAGTAGACGGGCAGGCACTTGTCGCGGCCCACCTCCAGGCACTGCGCGTACATCACCTCGATGGCCTTGTTCCACTTGCTCAGGCAGTCGCGGTAGCTGCTGAGGTCGAAGCCGGCGATGGTGACCTTGCGCGTGATCATGGAGTGCACCGAGGCGCGGCCGTCCCGCACCATCAGCAGGAACTTGGAGTTGGGGAAGAGGCGCGACAGGTAGACGGAGGACTTGAGCGTGAAGGGGTCCTTGTTGCAGAGCACGCGGGCCGGCTCGCCGTGCTTGGCGATCACCTCCAGGATGAAGGCCTGCATGGCCGCGTCCAGCACCTCGTCCGTCACGCCCGCCTCGTCCAGCCGCTGCTTCTCGCGGCCGGACTTGGCCCAGGCCTGGCGCATGGCCAGCACGCGGGGGATGACGCGGGTCTCCTCGCCGCAGCGCACCTCGGGGTGGGCGTCCAGCATGGCGCGCATCAGCGTGGTGCCGCTGCGGGGCACGCCGCCCACGAAGATGAGCGGCATGGCCTTGCCGTAGCGGTACTCGGCGCGGTCCGGGCCCACCACCGCCAGGTCCTCCTGCTCCGGCCGCATGGCGGGCCAGCGCCTCCCCGGGCCCCTCAGCGCCGCCCGGCACTCCAGCACCTGCTGGCCCAGCTGGAAGGCCAGCAGCAGGGCCAGCGCGCAGCAGGCCGCCAGCAGCGCCCTCCGCACCGACAGGCGCATGCTGGGCCGGGGCCGCGGGGCCTGCGTGGGTGACGGCTCAGCCAGGCGCCGGCCGGGCTCACATCTGGGGAGAGAGGGACACCGTGGTCAGCGAGGCCTGCGGGCCTCTGCCGTGCAGACCCCGCGGCGGCCAGCGGGACCGAGCCGCCCTCCTCCCCGGTTTAGGCAGCCGCCGCCCACAGGACAGCCGCAGACTCGGATGCCGGGCACTCAGCCGGCCTCTGTCCACACCAGCCCTCCTCCGCCTCGCCCCTGCTGTGTTCCCGAGAAGCAAAGTCGGGGCTTGCGGTCTCTGGGCATTCAGGGAGTCAGGCGGGCTTGAGTTCAAATCTCAGCTCTGCCACTTCCTGGGTGGCTGTGTGAGCTTGGGCAACGGGATCTACTACTCTGAGCTTCGTCTGTAAAAAATGGGTCTAAGAGTGTTAATATCAAAGATTAATCATGAACACGGAACAACCTCCAAAGACAGAAGAATGTGCCTGGCACACGGGAAGCACTGAGCAGTTTCTATCCTAACAACTGGTTATCCATTGATTCTAACATTTAATGAGCAACTACTATGTGCCAGGAATTCCAGGAATTGGGTGATGGAGCTCAGAGGCACAGCCTCAGTCCCAGGTCCACACACATCACAGACCCACACCTGGGAGGGGTGATGGGTTCTACTGAGCAGGGGAGGGCAGGCTTCCTGCAGGAGGAGGCAGCCCTCGGCGGAGTTCTGGAGAAGCCTGGACAGCCAGGCAGGAAAGAGGGAAGGGTGTTCCTGGCAAAGGGAACAGCCAGTGCAAAGTCACAGGCAGGAAGGAGCCCGCATGCCTGGGAGCTGCCGGCAGCCTGGGAAGCGGGGCGGGCGTGGAGGAAGGGGCCGGGGAGACGCATTCCCCTTTGAACATGAGGTCCAGCCTAGACCACACGGGACCTGGCCTGCCCCTGGACCAGCCCCGGCCGCTCCGGGCGGGTCAAGGCTGATGAAAGGCCGAGGCGTTTCCTGCCACGTGCCTCCGGGAGAGTCACTTCCTCCATCTCGGCCGCAGCTTCCTCCGCTGCACAGGGCTGGGGCCTCTGGCCTCCGAGGAGCTGGGAGGACCTAGAAGCGGCTGACACAGCAAAGGGGAGCCTCCTCCGGGGCCACTGGGCTGAGCTGCAGGAAGGAGCTGGGGAACCCCTCCAGAAACGTGCTGCTGACAATGCCGGGGTCCACGGGAGCCCTGCACTCAGGAGCTGGCTACTCTGGGGGGTGGCGGGGAGGCGGGGCGGGACAGAAAGCCACTCAGAAGTCCGCCCGGGCCTCAGCCTCCTCAGTGCTCACGGCCATGCTGGTGACACAGACTAGACAGGAGTCTGGAAGGCTGCCATGATTGTTGTTTCAGCGTCAGTACCCCTGGGGAGCTGTCAGTCACATGCTAGCCTGCATTAGCATAACCACCCTTCCTTCCTGACACTCAGTAACCGGAGTGAGAGAACGAGCTCTCAGGAAACAGATGGCAGGTGGGGGTTGGGGGGGGGGAGAGAGAAAAGGGGAAATCTGGGGAAGTGAGTGTGCAAGGCCCTGTGCGCGTGCATGTGTGTGCACAGCAGTCCGCCTCTGGGGGGGGGGGGGGTTGATGTGCCAAGATCCCTCAGCAGATACCGAAACCGCGGATATACCCCGTTTCTCCGTAGTACCGACCTGTGATGGCGTCTGGGCGCCGTATGCGCTTTGGGCCGTTAAGTAAAACAGGGGTCCCCTGGACACAGACCGTGGCGCCGTGACGGTCACTCTCTGATAACCAAACGGCTGCTGACGGGGAGGGGGCGTGCCCAGCGTGCAGATGCTGGGCAAACACGTGATTCACACCCGCTACACCCGCTACTCAGTGCAGCCACAGGTAAACATTTATCATTGTTTCTTTCTGGAACTTTCCATTTCATATATTCAGACCTCAGTTGACTGCACGTAAATGAAACCACGGGAGGTAAAACGGGGGGGGGGGGGGGGGGCAGGATTCCTGTCCTTTCCAGATTGTTTGGGGTTAGAAGTGATATGGATGGTAAAGGCCGGTGGGGGGAGGGGGGACAGAGAGAAAGAGAGAAATGCCAGCCACTCGCCCGCTTTGTTTAATACCCGATCTACAACGGCACCGAAACACACCACCCTCACTGAGCAGGCGCAGCCTCAGGGGTGGGAATGCTGACCCCCCCCCCCCCCCCCCGGCTCAGCCAGCGGCAACCTGCCCCAGGGCCAGGGGCGGGGGGCAGAGGAGCAGGCGCCAGGCCCCAGAGAGAGGCCACCTCTGCAACACGAGCAAACAGCTCGACACAGGCGGCGCAGACGGGAGCAGAGGACAGCAAAGACCTGGAGGGGGGCTTGGGAAGCAAAAGCGGGGTGACTTGCCAGCCAGCCCCCCACAAAGCACAGGCAGCTTCCTGGGCGCCCAGGGCCACTCCAGGAGGGACCAGCGGACGCAGCCCAGGAACCAGGCCTGACCCCACCCCACCAGACTCCATCATGGGAGTGTCCTGGCCTCCTGGCAGCGAGGAGGGTGGGGAAGAGCTACAGCTCGGGGTTCAAATCCTGCTTCTGCCCCTCGCCATTTGGTGACCGGACAAGGGACTTCATTCTGAACTCGTTTCCTCCCCCCAAATAAGAGATGATGACAGGCTTCCCGGGAGCTGTTGTGAGGCAGGGAAGCGTGGGTGCGGGAGCAGACAGCAGCACCAGTGGGGGACCAAGGGACTCGGGCTTTGGGGCCTGGCCACCGCCCGGGGGCTTTGCTGAGCCCCCAAGAATGGAGGCTGGGGTGTGGGTGCTGTGCCTAGGACTGCCCCAAGAGGAGCTGGGGCTCGGGGACCAGGGGCTGCACCCACCTCTCGGGCACTCCCGTCCCAGACTGCAGCCTAGGGCGCGCTCACCAAGGCTGCCCGCCCGACCCTGGGAGATCAGTGATGCTGCATTAGGGCCGGGGCCATGGAGAGGGGGTGGGGGTTCCCCGAGGGCACCGACAGGGACGGGGAAGCACTCTGGGGGCGCTGCAGTGCAGGGGAGACCGTCTGGGCCCCGGATGTCACAGCGGGGCCTGGCCTTGCCTGGACCTCCAGGGATGACCTGGCTCAGTTCTCAGGCAGAGAGGTGCGAGCTGGGAATGTGAGCTGAGGCGCTGCTGCTTGCAGAGAGAGCCCTGGGTCTCTGCCAACCCATTTCACCAACAGGGCAACTGAGGCCCAGCAGGGCGATCACTTCAGAATCCCAGCTAAGCCTGAGTGTCACCTTCCCCCCTCCGGTCCCACTCCAGGAGGAGGGGTGGATAAGAAAGCAGCTCTGGAGCTGGATGACTCCCTGATCCCATAGACTGTCACCGCTCTGAGCCTCAGTTTTCCCCTTCTGTAAAATGGGCTGTTGGGAGGTTTCAATAGGAACAGCCAGTCCTCAGACATCGCAGCTGTTAGTTCATTTGTGCCAAGAGGGAAATAAGCTGGGGCAGGCTGTTCCTGCATTTCTGTCCTTCTTCCCTGTGCCCATCCCTCGCTTCTATACGGGGTTTTTTTTTCACCTTCAATATTGATTTTTTTTTATTATACAGGTGTTTTTTTTTTGAAACACCAGCCTCACGCGCACATCTGAGCCCAGATGGTGAAGGGCTCCCAGGTGTAACCACAGCAACCAGCCCCCGGCCTCCCCTCCACGCCACAGAACACACAGGCCGCCCTGCCGGCCCATAATGGGAGGCCTGCCTCTTGGAACAAACACAACAATTAAGGAGAAGGTGCTTGAGGCGTTCCAGGAGGAGGGGAGGGGCGGAGGGCGGCGGGACAGCTCGGCCCAGCTGCTCTCAGAAGCCCTTGAAACGCCTGGAGCCGGGGAGGAGGAGGCCGGGCGGGCGGGCAGCCTGCAGCTGAAGGGCCCCTTCAGGGCTGAGGGCCGGGCTGAGCCTCGGCCAGGCAACCAGGGCCACCTGTCTGAAGTGGAGCACCACCCACGCGTGGGCATTTGAACTTAAAGTCAAAGGAAAGAACATTGCAAGCTCAGCTCCGCAGGGTGGCCAGGCGCAGGTCTGGAATGGGAGGCAAAGCTGGCCCTCCCTCCCCGCCCCCCCCCCCCCCCCCCGCCTGTCGCTGTGTGGCCTAGGAGCCACAATGGGCTTTTACATGTATTTTAAGGGAGAGAAGCGAAGGGGGAGCAGGGAAAGGGGGGGAGGAGGGAAGAAAGAGAAGCGCAACAAAAACTCCACACGATGCACAAAACAGGACTTCCTCTCTGGACATGCATGGAAAAGGTCTTGGGCTCCGGGGCAGGGCACCCTGTCCCCCACACTGCTTTCTGAGGACAGCGCTGACTCGGAAGGCAAAGGAGAGGCCTGGGGAGGGGCGTCCAGGAGCCCCCGTTTTCTTACAGGAGAAAAGTAAGCATTCATTATGCGCCACTGCATACTCCACACCGGGCCGAGGGCTTTCCATGCCCTGGTTTTACCCTCACAACAGCCCCAGTGGGCGGCGAGGGCCCGGTGCTCTCATGTACCGATGGCCAAGGTCAGGTGCGTGCCGGCTGCGCAAGACGGCGAAAGAGCGAATGCCGAATCAACCAAACCCAGCGGCACCTGGAAACCACAGGCACCAAACGAAAGTCAGGAAACTGACGCAGATGCCGCAAGGTCGGGAGGATGCCCGCTCCCCATCACCTGGCGCTGTCGTACCGTCTCTCTACAGAGTAATAAGATGAGTAGTGTTTTTAAAAAGTATAGTAGGGACTCAAACCCCAGCCGCATGGGCTAATGACTTACCCACTCTGAGCCTCAGTCTCCTCATCTGTAAAACGGGGGTGACGACAACGCGCACATGGCCTGGGCCCTGGAAATGTGGCCGCTGCGGAGGAACTAGCCTCGGAGATGCGCTGAGAGACGTAAAAAAGTCAGCGCCTGCCACCGCGAGTGCTATTTACATGCTGGCTTTCATTTTCTAATTTCATCCTCGGCGGAAACGTGTTTCTTGACTTACAGTCACCCCAAGAGAGGGAGACGGGTGAGCGAGAAACATCCATCAGCTGCCTGCCGCTGTGCCCCAGCTGGGAGCGGAGCTGGCCACCTCTTG